AGCTTTTAAAAAAAAATTCAACTTAAAATTCATTAAAAATTGTTAGTTAAAAATTTATAAAACACCAAGATGGTTAAGAACTAACAAAAAAATTCGTTACATATTTTATAAAACTATTGCGTTAAAAATTTTATAAAAATTATTCGTTCAAAATTATCAAATTAATCAAAAAAATAGTAAGAATTAAATCCTTTCGTAAAATTTTTAATTTCGAAATAAAAAATATGGAATATTTAGAAAAAATAATGTTATTAAAAAATTGTAGCAAAAAAGCACTTAAAAAACTTAAAATTTTGTTAAAGCATAAAAGTTTGCAACTTCAATCAAAACAAAAATATTAAAAAGCTGTAGTTAAAATTTCATGAAAAATCTCGCAAAACAAATATGAACAAAATTTTCGTGCACACATTTTGAAAAATCCTTAAATAAGCTATAAAAAATTTAAAATTTTATGTAAACAACATTACTAACTCAAAAGTGATATCAAAAAAGGTTTGCTCTGTGGTACTTGTGTGAGAATTACCGCAACTCATACAAATAAATTTTTCCCACAGTATAAGTAAAAAAAACTGCTTCACTCTTAAATAAGTGTTATGTGTGCTGGCAGATTTTTTAGTGTTTCTTTTTTCTTTTTCAACAATTTTTCTTTTTTGCTGCTTCGAAATAATCATTGACGCACTAAACATTTAAAATTGGCAATGCACTAAATTTAAGTTTGGATATTAAAAAATAGTATGTACAAGAGAAATTGTGGTTACGTTAAAAAGTGTACGAGCTTGAAAATCATGAGTGGTATTCAGTGATATATGTAAATACATATGTACATTAGCTATAGTACATTAATGGACATACATTAAACCGCACCACCTTGCAAGCAAACCAAAAAACTCCCCCCTACACCACTGAAAAAATATTTTGTTTCGATATTGCCTTGTAAAACTACTTTATGTAGACTCTAGGGCGGTGATGGGCACCGCCTTGCCCGTGGGCAAAGCTCTTTTAAGCTTTCTTTATATTTCGTGTAAGCGCGTGCAGAGTAAAAGCTTTCTGTGCCCATCGCTGCTCTCGGGGTGTACTGCGAACTTTTTTGTTTGCGTGTAAGGTGGTACGGTCTAATATGTTTATACATGTACATACATATAGACTGCACAGGCTTGCTGTTTGTATATTTAACTGCTCCTGATCACGTTCCCCCAATCTACATAAACCGAACTAATTTCCTTAATATAATAAATTTTCCTCGCCACTAAAGTTATTTATTTTGCATTTAAAATTTTTTCCCCGACATTCTTATGCAGCTCGCGTCTTTATAAATCCATTAACTCAATTAGACTGATATACATACATACATATGTATCTCTTAAAAGGCTAAATAAGTGAGATACTTTGTAGAATATATTCAATGGAATTTAATTTTCTAAAATACGTACATATTTTCGTAAGAGCTATGTCTAAAAATAAAAAATTAAATAATTTGTTTAATATTCGCCTAAAATATGCAGATAGTACATACTACACCAAAACTGGGGAAAATGTATAAAAATTTGTGGTCAATTGCCAAAAACTCAAATATTTTGGATATCCCACTAAAAATCCGGCAATCTACCTGTGTATATTGTCCTGCCCATCTTCAAAATTATATACATAGAAATTATGTACATACATACATACTGGTTATATATTTCGTATATGATTACGGACATCCAAACGGCAATGACGTCATGCGCCGGTGACCATACTTGCCGGCAGGGTTACCACTGAAAAACTTTCTTTCCTACCGAGAGCTGGTTCAAAAACCTACCAAAATGGCTTCTTTCCTACCATTTAAGAAAACGGCGTTTGACGGCAGTAAATAAATTTTTTTTGCTGGTTTTTATATATAAAATAAGATTTCCAGGTAAACAAAAAGATCAGTGTAATAGCTATTAATTCTGTAAGAAAATTCTTTATAACGTATCAGGAGTTCAGAGAATTGCCGAAGGTAATTGGTAAAATTCTGCCCATACCAGGAAGCAACGAGATTTTTCAAACGCACTACAACAAACCAGAGACGTTTTCTGTCTAATGAGCAAATAAACCTACCAAAATTTTAAGCGTCCTACCATCCTACCAACGAGAAAAAAAAACCTACCAGTTTTGGTAGTAAAGGCCGAAAACGGCAACCCTGCTTGCCGGTCGCGCACTTTGCAATGCCAGTTCAAGAAATTCAGCTTGGACGAACAAGTACAAAAGTCACACATATGTACATAAACACATAGGTATGTTTATATGTACATTAGAGTGCACCACTCTCCAAACAAAAAAATCAATACTGTTTTTCCATCGGAGTTATAACATTTATTACGGGTATATTTAAGACAGCCGACAAAAAAATATTTAGATTTATGTGAGCTGGGTCGAATTGAAAATACTTCCAAAAATCTATCTTTTTATAAACAAAATTAGTTTTTATAAAGATTTTTCCCAAAAAATCACCTCAGATGATGGAAGAGCTTAAGCTTACAAGATCTGCATAAAAATGCTTAAACATTTTATCAACGGAATCAAAATAATGAGGTTTTTGGAGGTATTTTCAAATCATTTTAGCTCCTAATATTTTTCCAAAATATTTATGCTGAAGTCTTCAATCATCATAAATTTTATAGGTAATTCCGGTGGAAGAACATCAATTTTTTTTTTGTGAGTCATCCTAATGTGCATACATACAGACAATTTAATCCAGTTCTTTTACTTTGCCAAATAGTGCTGTTGTCTTTTGGCGGATTTTGGCGGTCTTAAATAATCTTTTTTTCTTAATTGCAGCCAAATACATAATTGTTTTCGCGCCAGGCAAATGACGTCACTTATTGCGGATTTAAATATTGTTATTTTTCGTATACAGTATGTAATTTGAGTCGTTAATGTCTAGCATTCAGAAAAGTAATTCATTATTCGTAGTATATTTTTTTTTTGCAGTTTGTTTTTAATTCTTATTTGAGTTCCTAATTATCATGTTACTATTTTTTATTGTTATTTATTTATTATTGCTGTTATTTTTTATTTTATTTTTTTTTTTCAAAAACTATTTTATTATTTGTTTATTACCTACTCAAATTTATTTCGCTTAGCTGCAAGCCAGATGCGCTCAAAATTTTTTCAATGACTCATCAAAGGTGTTTATTATTATGATTGACACTGAATGTTCGTGAATTCATATTACATATGTATCTACCACATACATATGTACATGCTAATGTTTGTACATTAGGGTGCGTCGTCGGAATTTTGAAATGTATTACCCATATTTTAACACCCAAATATAAAGTCGACTTTAACTGCTTTATAAATAGAAAACTTGTATGAAAATGTCACTTTATAAAGCTCTTTAAATCTATCTTAATTTTTATGAATAAGGCCATAAGACTTCTGCCAAGATTTTTCTTAAAAATATCAAGATTAACATGAGTTGGACCGATTTGAAAATAACTCAAAAAAATTAGGGTTTTATAAATAAAATTAGTTTTTAAAAATGTTTTTTTTTTTTTTAAATCATTTCAGCTCTTAAACACTTCTATAGTCTGAGGTGATCTGTTGAGGAAAAATCTTTTAAAAACTAATTTTTTGTATATACAAAATAAATAGATTTTTGCAGTTATTTTCAAATCGATCCAGCTCACGTAAATCTTAATGTAACAAAAAAAAAAATTTGGCGATAGTCTTTAAATATAAAGATAGTATAATTCCGGTTGAAAAACGGCAAATATATATTTTGGGTGAGGCACCCTAATGTACAAATATGCATATATTCATACACACATAGCTACTTGCTTTGAGTTTTTATCTCATAAAATTTGTTTTCTGGCTTTGTGTGACAACAAATTGTAGGTGGTCGCTGGATACGCTTAATAAAGCAAAATTATTTTTTTTTTGCGAATTTTTTTCTTTATTATTTGATGACAACGTAATTAGTAAAATGCATTCTTCGGTATACATTCGTACGTTTTTATTTTTAGACAAGCTCTGCTATGCGTGACTTTGTGCTCGTTAATAATTTAATGAACCCCAATGACCCTGAGAAAATAATTTGATGCAGATTCTAAAAAAATATCGCCATTTTCATTAAAAATTCGATTTTTTCTGTCTTACACATAAGTATGTACATATCGTCACCTGAAATGCAAAAAGACTTAGCAAACATCGTCGCTGAAATACATACATAAAGTCGTAACTAAATAATAAAAAATTCAAATTCAGTTTTTGATTTTATGAAAAAAAATATTAGTCACGACTTTTTCCAATTCAGTTACGATATTGTTACGTCTTTTTGCATTTCAGGTGACGATATCGAGCCCTAACCGCCAAAATAACGTAAGCGGCATTTTTTTCAAAATTTTCTTTTTGATGCAGAAATATTCCTAGAGCATCTAGATGCATTTCTGCATCAAAAAGAAAATTTTGAAAAAAATGGCGCTTACGTTATTTTGGCGGTTAAGGCTCGATATGTCCGAAAATTATTTTATTCCGAAGATAATATTTTTTCCTCTGGTTTTATCGGCTCTAGAGCCCTATTTTTTGATACCTTTATTCCTATATTTCGCTAGCAGAACACCATCTTCTTTGATCTTGCTATTGAACCAACGACTTATCAAGCTTCTCTGCGCTGTCATCTTTTCCGGCTTTTTGGCAGTTTTTTTTCTGAATCGAAAAGTTTTGGTTTCCTTGAGCTAGATCGCACATCTTACTTAAGGTCTGTTTAGGGGGGTTAGGTTAGACAAGCTGGAACAAATTTACTCTTCCATTTGAAAATTTGCGTTATTCTGGAAATAGTCTAAGAAATCTGTCATGGGATACAGATATTAGATAAAAGGCACTCATCCGAAGAAAAAATCTGAACAGTAATGAGGTTGAAGTTCGATGAAGATCCTTAGCATATTGTTAACGTTATTTCTAGAACATCAACTTTCTTTAACCTCTTGCAAGCAATTTTCTAAAATAATTTCGTCTACTTTCTTTCTTTGCAGCAGGGCTTTGGTTTCGAACCGGACATGGACATGGATATGGACATGGACATGTTTCCACGAAGCCGCCTCGGGCGCATGCATCATGATCCGTTCGGTAGCTTTGGCAACTCACGTAAGCATTTTTATTTGTCGCACACTCTCTCACAGAAAGCATACTGACTTTACTTTTTCTCCTTTCTTCGATCGATCAGCAGATTTTGGCTTCCCTCAGTTCAATTCGCTAGGACGTAGGCGTGCTGCCGATCATATGGGTCGTGACGATGACTTCTTCAATCGGCTGCCATCGGAATTCCGCCAGTATATACCCGACGGTTTTGGTCACAGCCGACGTGGGGAAAGCGCCACATTGCCACGGCAACATAGCGCGCAGCATTCACAACAGGTGCCAGTACAGGGTGGTAGTGGTGGTGGTGTCGCCCCAACAGCCTACTATCAGTCATATGTGCCCGCTTCACCGCCCAATGGCGGACCGCAATCGCCTTCGAAGAAGCTCTGCGATGCTGCCATACAAACCGAAGATCCCGCAATGCGTACAAGCGGCGATGAAGTTGACAGCGCTGCACCTCAGCAGCATGGTGATAGTCTAAAACAGCATGGTCTACGCAACACAGTCGACATGGGCGTCAAGTCCGCCTTAGAGTCAGAGCATGAAGCACGCGCGCATTCGGCGCCACCACATGAACAACAGCAACAACAACAGGTACCAGTAAATGGCGGTAAACGTCCAACACCGCCACCCCAAGCCGGTCAATCACAATTCGGCACACAAACTAGTCCACACGTGCAAACTGGCGCCCAGCAACCGCAACTGCATAAGGCTTACTATGCTCCACAGCATCAGCCGCACCCACAGCAACGACAACAGACGCCACCACCGCCACAAACTCCAGGCGGCAGCTATGTGCGTACTATACCGATCTTTGTCGAGGGTCGCTCCGAGCCGATCATAAACGCTCACAAGGAAATACCAAATCAGAACGCTGCGCCTGCTCAATCGCAGGCCACGGCTAGCGCAACGGCTAGAGCACATGTGCCACCACAGCACCAACAGCCACAATACCACCAGCAACAGCAGCAGCATCATCAGCCGCAACAGCAGCAACAACACCGTCCCACTCCAATCAATACTCAGCAGCAGCCGCAGCAACAAGGCGCTACCCAGCAGCCCGCTGGCGTGCCACCACAAACTCCACACACGCTGGACTCAATCAGCAAAATTCAAGACATTCAACGCGATGTGCTCGATCTCATGGGAAAGGTTGAGAAGTTCACTGGCACACGCCAAGACAAAGAGTACGCCTATCTCGATGAGATGCTGACGCGCAATCTACTCAAGCTAGATACAATCGACACGAATGGCAAGGACAGCATTCGCTTGGCGCGCAAGGAGGCCATCAAATGCATTCAGGCTTCGATCAATGTGCTCGAGGCGAAAGCGAACGAGAACACCAAGGCTGCTGAGCAGTCGGCAGAAGATGGTGCAGCGCCACAAGAAGCAACAGAAGCAGCGGGCGAACCAGAAGCGACTAAAGAGGCTGTGACGCGAAAGAGCGCCTCGAGAGAGAAAGTAGAGTCAGCTGTAGAAGCACCAGCGGCGAAAGCCAACGAGTCAGAGCCCGAGCCGGCTGATGCAAAACAAATCCAAGCACCCATACCATTGCCGCCACCAGAGGGCATGCAAGTAAATGAGGTAACAACAGCCGGTAGTGAGGCAAAGAGCGCGGAGACGAATATACAAAACAGTGAGTCGGCTGGGGAGGTGAAAGTGGCTGAAGAAGCGGCCAGTGGCGCGGTTGGAGAGGGTGCAACAACTGAGGTGTCGTCAATGGATGCGGCGGAGTCGAGCAAATGATGACTGGAACAGCAGCGCAGCTCTAACGGCGCCGTGAGGTCATCCTCCTCCTCCTCCTCCTCCTCCTACGCAGCTACATTTTCAAAGCGTTTACATAGCATCACCAAACGAAAGTCTTAAAAAGGACTCAGTTTCATACATCAAAATAAATGTAAAATTCGTTGTGTTAGAAATTTAACGAAAAAATTAAGAAAAAATACTTATATACTTACCTATACGTTTTTATTTTATGCCACAAAAAAAAATTAAATACTTTAGAAAATATTGAAAGAAATGCTGCTGTTTCCGGAAGGAGTGCGCATAATTTTTAGGAAAAGTACATATAATATTCGTAAATAAAATTGAGTAGATAGCGCGCAGATGCTCGGTTACGCTGAGGCCACAGCTGAAGCGATCTCGACTCTGTACGACGGCACGGGCATCATGTTTTGTTGGGCGAAAATTTAATAATAAATAAGAATAAAAATATTTAAAAAAATAAGCTTTTTTGTTTTTAAAAGTACAAATATTGGCGGTTAGGTGTGAAGATGCGTGGTAGCTTGGGAGATACTTGAAAGTAGTAGTACATTTATTATTTACCATAGATACTAGACAACATTATAGAACTCCTACGACAGCTACACAAAAACAAATTTTTGTTCGACGAACGATACTAAGAAATCTCGAATCACAAGTTGGCTGATGCAGAAGAATATTTTTCTATAGGGTACACAAATAAAAGTTGTCAGACCAGACGAGGTTATACAATTCCAACATATTCTGGATCGTTGAATTCGAATCGAATGCCAGAAATAAGAAGTTACAATGCTTTATTTTTCTTTCTAACCTCAATACTTAATATTTTGATACAATTGTAAAAGATTTCTTGAGGTTAGTGAGAAAACACTGAAGAAAATTTTTATTACGAATACAGTGATCAAAAATAAATAAAATGAATCGTTCGATTGGAAAAAATATCTAAAGGTTTTTGACGCTGTGTAAATTACATATTGAAGTAAAACAACACCCCAAAAATTTTTATTGTTGATCTAAAATAGCTAATTCTTATAGAACTTGGTACTGAGAACTTGTCACGACTTTTCTTTCTAACCATAAAACCAATATTAAATTTAATATTATCGACGATTTTTTGGGGTTAGAAAGAATAATTATTTTCTAGCCGACTTCAAAACAAGAAGGAGGTTATCAATTCATCGGATTTTTTTTATGTATGTTGCCTGATAACTTTGACCTACGTCAACCGTTTTCGATAATAATTTTTTATCGAAAAGATGGCACCGAAAGTGGTTGCCCCATACCAATTTGGTTTACATAGTTCCGATCATTGGATCTTTAAGAAATTAACTGTACATTTTAATATGAACATTAAAGTCGGTTGTCTTTTGTTTAAAAACTACTTCTTTTCAATTTGGTATCGAAAAATTATTAAATTAATTCATCTATTTTTTTTTTTAATTTTTAAAAAATATTTATAATCTCATCATATCTTTTTAACTAAAGTTGAGGCTATTATGCTCCGAAATTTCGAGACTCCGAAATTAAAATTATTTAGAAATTAAAAAACTATTAAAAATTATTATTACTCAAATGTAAATCTCATTTTGCATTTGCAATCGTATCCCAAACGTGTGAATGAAAAAATATTTTTTTTTTATCTTAATCACAAAAGACAATTTATTCAAATTTTTCAATTGAAGTTCGCTGTATTTCACAAAAAAAAAATAAATTTCGTCCCAATATGAAAAAATTTACAAATATACCAATCGTGTGACACTTCCTTAAGAGCCGCCAGAAATTCGGTTAAATGAAATCGACTTTTCATTACACTGCTTCAACTCTTCATATTGCGCATTTTCGAAACCATATTCACGGCCATATTATTGACTTGTCGTTATTCCTTCTTATTCAACGGTTTAGTTATTCTGAGCAATTCTGAGCGACGGCGGCGGAATAAATATTTATTCCAATAGTTTTTCTGAAGAGGAATTAACATTCGGAGTGTCTAAGTATTATACAATTATTTAATCTTAATCAGAAAAAAAAATATTAAAAATCAACGCGATTTTTTAGCAACTTAAGACTTGCATATTATTACCCTAGAATTTAATGGGTTATTAAACTGCATACTCAAGAAAATTCTAAAAAATCTGAATAAAAAGTTGAAAATTTAGCTGAAACTTTGCAGATTTTTCATAATTTTTGCACAAAGTTTGAAATCTGGATTTATATGGCGTTTGTTATATAATGAGCTAGACTTTTATGGGACAATAATAAACATTAAATAAACGAAAGCAAAATAGCCAAAATTTAACAAAATTTTGCTAGCTTAATCAGCTGATCACAAGTGTACCTTGCGTGTTGTTATTTTTTAATGCATAAAAAATTCCTTTAAAAAATATTAAAATTTCCGAAACAATAATTTGTTGAGGTTTCAGTGATACTCGAGGAATTTACGAAAATTATAAACGTCATAAGCACAGATTATGTCAAAAAATTTCAAAGTGAAACTACCTTCTTTTTTGTGTATTATGTATTTAATTATTATTATTTTTTTTTTTGAATTTTTAAATACATGAAAGCAAGGCGAATTTATATAAGGTGATGGCAGGAGTACAATGACAAAAACTTGCATGTATTTTGTTTTTGCTTTGGCGGCATAAACTGTCAAAATCTGTAAGAGTGTGTGTGCAAATTCAAACAAAATTTTTCAATTTGACATAAGAAGCCGTAAGGCGAAACACATACACAAAATCAGCTGATCTAGTAACACCACCTTATATAAATTCGCCTTGCATGAAAGCCTAACAAATATTGTCTAATTCAACGTCAAGAACTTTGTCTGCTTCAAATCGAATACATTAATCAAATAGATAAATATACCACAGTGTAGAGGAATAAATTATCTACATAATTGCAGTGGGGAGTATTGCGACGCGGCTTACCACTTTCGCGTAATCGATTGGTAAAATTCAATGATTTTTTTTTTTTTTGTGACATAAGAAGGAAATCTAAGCGTTTGATCAAACGTAAAGGAAGACGATAACAATTGATTACGCGATGGGCATTAGTCGTAGCGTAGTAGATACCTCTGCAAATACGTAAATAATTTCTTCCTTTACAATGTGGTATTTTTATGATTTGATAAATGCATTTGATTTGACTTAGTCTGAGATGAATTGGACAAGATTCGTTAGAATTGCATTAATTCTAATCTAAAAATTCGAAAGCTTATTCTTACAACCTTGTCAGGCTATGCCTAGAAGTTGCGGAAAAGGTCACAGTTAAAAAAAATATTTTAACAAAGGCGGTCAGCATTTTTAAAGAGACCAATTAAAAAGTAACAATCGGCCCATTTTTGGCAAAGGGTATTTAAAAAAAAAATAGTCCCTTTTTCATAAATCGATATATCGAGATCGCCTAGACAAAAACATTAAAAAAAAAATCGGAGAAAAAAGAAAAAAGTTATGAAAAATATCAAAGTCCTTACGTCCTCGTATATTCGGTTCCGAGTTTGGTGAATATATTAATTTTTGTGTGGATAAAATTGACTGTTGCACGCTGTTGTATGGTGTCTACATTTGTGGACTACCGTCCAGGAGATAGACATTTTTAAAGAATGGTTTTGAAGGTATCGGAAATAATTTTTTTTTTCCACGCTTAATAGCCAAAACTTAGAATTGATTTTCATGAAACTATTGAAAAAATCGGACACGGTTGTAGGCGAACTATTTTATTTATTACAAATTTACAGCGAAAATGCTACAAATGTATGCTACAGAGCACAATAAGGTTAAATTTAAAAATTGGAGCATTGCATTTAATTAAAAATAAAGTTCTTGCCTGTTTCTATTTCACCTTAAATGGATCAAAAAGGATAATTACAAACTAAAAAACAGTTTCTATTTATTACCTGTATGTATTGCTAAAATAATTGTGAAACTCAGTAATAAATTTTGATTATTACGCCTTATTTCGTTTTATTATATGCGTCATTAATAGACTTATTCAGACTTATTCTCCTCTATACCGTAAATATTCTTACTCTGCCTTATTCCGACATATTCGGAGTGTCAATAAAATGGCCATTAATGTCATAACTGTTTAAACGGTTGGTCCCTATTTCAATTCTAATTTCCTCTGCTGATTCAAATACAAGCAGTAATGAATTATTCTTGCTTAGAAATCTTTCGCCATAAGCAATTGTTTAGAGTCGTATTCTATAAAAGAAGACACAATTTGCTTAAGTGCACCCAAATTTAGACTTCTTTATAGTTTAAGCTGGTAGGTGTTTCCACGGTCATGATGGTCCCCTAAAATATATCGCACAACTCAAAATTACACATTTTTCAGAAAATGCGATAAACTATTTTTTAGCACATGATAATCATATGGTAAGACTTTATAAATAAATTATAACAAAACTTTGCTCCAGCTTTTGCTGAAAGGTTAAATAAAAGTTCTGTGTACATTTTTCGCGCATATTTTCAAAAATGCCACATTTTGAATTGTGCCCCTTTTCAAGACGGTTTGCGATATGGACACTATTTAAATTGCGCAATTTGTGGCTCGTGGAAATTCAGTATCACCGGATCAGTGGCGCAGTAATGACGTAATGCCGGATTTCCACTGCGCATTAAATGACACAAAAAGTAGAATGACAAAGTTTGTCAAACAAACATTGCCACTAAATAAATACGTTTCCACGTGGCATTTTTTAAAAAAACACATCTTTTTCGTTATTTCGTATTAGATGGAACAAAACCGCGTACTTCTTTATATTTCTTCGGTTTCGAGTTCTTTAAGAAGTAACTAAAAAAAAAATATAGCAGTTGAAGGTAAGCAATCCACTAAATTTTTCCTTTAATACATAAAATATTTAAATTTTAGAACTCGAAATTTACTTTGTAATAAAAATATAGTAAAAATTAACTCCAACTATAAAAATGTACTAACCCAAATTCTTCATTAACTGAGTAGTTAGTTAATACCCCGTTAATTTTTTTTACTGTAACACTGTATTAAAGAAAAAAAGTTTCCCAAGTAGTTATGCTGTTATTATTAAATTTTGCAAAATAATTTTTTTTTAATGTTCTACCAAGGATTAAAAAAGACACCAAAGCCACACAGTACAATTTGAAGCGCATACTTTTACTTAAGTACTTACTACATATAAGCTTATGATCCTGAAAAGTTTAGATTAAATGAAAAATTTATAAAAAATCTTAACTAAAACATCTTTGAACTTTTTCTAATAATGTTTTTTTTTTCCTTTATAAAAATACAAATCCGTCACAGCTTACGGTCAATAACGGACAAATAAAATAAAAGGAGGATAAAAATTCAAGTACATAAAAAAGGATTTACTTAAAAACACTGCAACTAAAACTGAAATGAATAACCGTAACTAACATTCCATGTACATTAGGGTGGTCCAAAATACACAGAGAAATCAACATTTTGGAATTTTCTTGTTGCCACCCC